AGGACACGCCAATGTCTGGGTTAATGAAAACAACCTCAAGATCCGAGAGTTCGAATTCGTATATTAATATATACGAATCGTACTGGTTTGATTTGGTTCAATTCCTTAACAATTACGACGTAGCTATTGAGAAACAAAGAYACCGACAATCTGTTAACGAAACCGTAACGAGAACCACTAACCCTAAACTTGTAACCCCGCTGCGTTTAGAAAGTAGTGCATCAATCATATACAGTCGGAATGTGTTTTTTGACGTGCAAAAGGAAATAAAGAAGGCTGTCTGGTTCTGTGGTATAGAGTCAGTTGAATGCCGGGATCACTTGAAGTCATTCGTGATAAGCCACAAGACCARGAAATCATCTGACAACATTTCCTATCTGGTATCATATCCCTCATCCCCACAACAATGTTTTTTTGGTTTATTAACTTTATATTTTGACTGTGGGTGTTTGCAACACTTTTTCTATATAGGTGAACCGTAATTACTCAACGGACACCGTCGAGTGCGAGTGCAACCTATTCACGCGCAACGGATATCTTTGTCGTCACGCATTCAAGGTACTGATTAATGATGAAGTCGAGTTCATCCCGGATAGATATGTGTTACGGCGATGGAGACGGCAATTAGTCCCAGTGCAGATACAATCGGCAAGGGTTCGTTACGTTGAGGTTGATGCGGAAAAAGAAAAGTGTATAGATGATGTATATTCCAAGGTCGACGACATCATAAGCATCGCCCGGAATGATAAGACTATATTGTTTAGATTGGAACGGTATCTCCACAGATTCATGGTTGATATAGAGAAGGAAGTCCCATATGAAGACCCGTCTCAACAGAAGTTGGATGCAATTAGAGATCACCTAGGTGTTTCCATACCTGATGAGGTGGATATTCTACCACCATCTGGAATTAGGAACAAGGGATGTGGCACTGCTAAGAGACTGGTAAGTGTAGCTGAGAAAATGCAAAATAATAGCAAAAAAGCAAAACGAAAATGTGCAACATGTGGGCAACGTAGTGGTCATGACTCACGTAACTGCCCAGAATTGGTAGGTTAGTTACAATTCAAGTATTTTAGGATTGTTTTGGTTTCGTTATATTTTGTTGACGTCAACCTCAARTAGTGTTTTTAATTTGAGGGGATCGACGCATTTTTTTATAAGATATGCAACTACTTGACATAAATATTAGCTTATTATTAACTTAAAGGTTTTGAAGGTTCTTTTATTTCTTTACTATTTGTTGGATGATCAGATTAAGTTTGAATTATATTATTTGTTAGTGACTTCATTGTTATAACTACGTTGCATAGATGTCATGGTCCTTTAACAATATATCAAATTATTATATCCTTGTGTGGGCATCATACTAAGATCATACTACGTTTGAATCTTTATATACAATACAAAGATGTTATACAAAATCAAGTTTTAACCTTCTATCTAGACTTAAGAATGACCACCACAACCCAAAACACGTACACAAAACCCCGTACCCTTGTAATACTAGCACACCACATGTAGTTTCAAATTCTAATAAAATAAAAGAAATGTCATTTACCATTTTGCACGTAATTCATGTCAGTAGCCTTCCATTTCATATGT